CACTCATGTAATAGACAGAAGAACAGCTTAATATGTTGAAAATTGAGAATGTGGAAATATTTATGCAGCATCTAGTCAACTTCTAGAATTTACTTTTTTTCAGTTCATAGATCATTTTTATTCGAAATGTAGTAAAATTCAAATAATGGTTAAACACATGAATAAAAATTAATCTGCAGTTACATTAACTAGAATTAAGATGAAAATAAATGTTCACACTTTAGAGTATAAAACCATCAGCAGCTGTGGTCAGGAAAGAATTGCCCCTCCATAGCAATTAGGACCTGATCCAGTGCCACTGCAATCCACGGAAATACATCCATTGACTTCAATGGGTATTGGAGCAGGGACTTAATTTCTCTTTGGTGCTAGCCTGGAGACGTCCTCACACACACGGAACTCAAAGACTGTCCATTTAACTAGAACTTCTACAGCTACACAAGGAAGACTTTTTTGTATCTACTTTCCTCCACCTACTCTCATGCACCTGTGCAATGACGGGCACAACTGAGCCTTCGACGTTTGTAGAAAAGTTTTCAGTAAGTCTAGTTCAAATATTTCCATCGAAACTGTTTTTCATCTGCCACCAAAATGGAATACCTTTTTTTCCACAAAAATTGTCTGCTTTCCACAGAAAATGTAATTTCTTAGTTGAAAAACGGAACCTCAGAGATCAAAGAAAAATTTCCACCAAGAACTATTTGGAAATGTCAAAAAGTTTGCTTTGCTTTATGGAACTAAATCAAAATTTCATTTCAGTTCGACATAAACAATGTCCTTCTGAGCAACCATAGTGCCTCACTGGAGCTGTCATTCAGCTATCCCCTGCCCCATTCTCCTCCTTGGGGTTGGCTCCCCAGATGGACTACATCTCACATGATGCACTATGCCATTTGACTCCCATCACAGAGGCTCAATGGGACAGGAGACCATGGTGGAATTTTCCAAATAGAAATTCAGTTTTCAGCCCAAAAATTCAATTTTAATTTTTTTGCCAAAAAGTTGAAGTTTTCCACAGGACATTTTTTTTCCCAGACAGCTCTAGTTTTGAGATCCTCAGATAAAAGCCATTGTGTCAGTGCAAATGGTCATTATACAACAGACCTAAATCTCAGATTGGATCATCCTATTTCTTAATACAGACATATAATAAATGTTTCTATGCAAGGCAGAAATCCTATTCTTTTAACACTTTTCATGTCCTATTCTAATGCCATTTTTCCTCATTGTTTTACAAACACTATTACAGGACAAACTGTTTTATTCAGGAACAGCTGAAGGGATTTTCTGGAAAGGAAGACATTGAATAACATATGTGGAAGCACTGAATAAAAATGTCCATCGAGTTTAGAAAATCCTTTCACATTTTTCTGTGATCAGATATATATCATCTGCCATTCCTGGTAACATTCAATTCTTGACTTCTGTGCTGTTTGTAATTCTACAAACATACTTTGATTACAGATAGGCTGAATTACCCCAGAACTGGAGAATCACTTTACGTAGACGGTTTGTATTGCAGTCCGACATTCTGGGCAATTCACGTTGACAGATCATATTCATGGCACTGAGACTGGCTTGGAGAAAATGAATGTGACGCACCAAAACATGCTTGTGACCAGAAATACTTATCGGGCCTTATTCTAGACTGCCATGTTCCTCATGTAACCATTTACACATGTGTAAAGTGGGCATAAAACACTACCATAATTATTTAGGAGCATTTTACACCTACTTTGCCCAGTGTAAATGACCACAAAAGATGCAAGGCAGTGGTGAACCAGACTTAAGTAAAACTGACAGGGCCAATAACAATAAGAGAACTGTAGACAATATTAACTGATATTCAGGGGAGAGGGGGATTTCCAAAAGCACTTAAATAACTTAGAAGCCTAAGTCCCACAGTTTTCTAAGTGATTTGAGTCTAAATCTCAATGATTTTCAGTGAGACTACGTCTCCTGAGTCCCTTTTGAAAATGGTGGTTAGGGTCCTAAATTACTTAGGGCCAGATTTTTAAAGGTATTCAGGCACCAAGTATGATTTTTCAAAAGCACCAATGCACCTAACACTCTTTGAAGTCAGTGGGAATTAGGGCCTAGATGCTTTTGAAAATACCACTCCGTGCCGAAATACCTTTAAAAATCCAGCGCTTAGGCAATTTTGAAAGTTTTACTCATGGCCTTTATTTTCATAAGCACAGAACTGAATTATTACATTAATAGACATCTAGCAGCTAATACCTGCATCCTCAATAAACAATGGGCATAAAACTGTGGTTCAGTGATTTTAAGTAGTAAAACTGCCCCAGAAAAACAAACAAACAGAAAATGGCTGAACCTTATACCTTGTTGGCCTGAATTTAAAAAAGAATAATATATGGTTTACTAAGGGGTTAATTTCAAAGCACATAACCTCAGATTTTTTTAGGGTGATCTCATATTCAGCACTGACTCAAAATTGTCAGTCAAGCGAACAGACAGTTTTGTTTGGGCAACAGCATACCTTCTTTGGCAGTTTTGGTACTTTATATCTATATGGATAAATAGCAACAGAACTGGAAGTGCAGTTATACTGTTACCCAATGTGTTGTGAGGTAATATGAGTTATATGAGTAAATGTCTTCAACCATCTCACAGAGTTATGTAAAACCTCCATCTGCCTAAGAGATGTTATTGTCAAGTCTGAGATTTTCAAAAGTGCTCCGTGTTGGGCTAATTCTGGTCCCACTTAAATCAATGTTAAAACTCTCATTGACTTCAGCGGAAACAGAGTTAGGCCAATGGTGTGCACTTTTGAAAATTCCTTCCTAAGGAATTTCAATCACCTATGATTTATGAGTACCTGATATAACTTGATATCTTGATTTTTTTTTAAAGGAGCGATACACTTTTTAGCAAGTTAACTCTGGAGTGCCAGCTACTCTTGAGGCAGGTACATGCACCTCAGTCAATCAGAGTTCTCCTTTAACAATGGTCATATAACAAAAATACATCATAAAGTCTCTCTACTGTCTGAGTTTGACCTACTTCCTCGGGAACCTACAGAACTCCTTCTTATACAAACCTACTGCAAATTAAAACAAGAGCTCAATATTTGCCCAGATGGCAACATACATTTTAAATTGACCTTTTATTATCCAACATACAATAAAACCCATGATGGTTTACAGCCTGCTTCTCAGAATTCTGTATGTCTGGAGCAATTAAAGAAGCTAAGGAAATGAAATTAGGGAATTTATTAATCTGTTTAATGGATGACTGTTACCCACTTCACATTATACCAAAACAGATTAGGCAGGTGACTGAGAGATCCAGAAAACATCTGCTAAACAAAATCAAAATTAATGATAAACAGAATGAGTTCTTTGATAGCTGATTTTCCTCCATCTGTCTATAACAATAAAAGAGCTGCTAGAGACAGCTGCCAATTAGTTGCTAATTCAAAAACCCTTTTAGGAAGTGGGATCTGAGCTCAAGTTGCAGTACAGCGGCATGACTCTTTTATTTAACATTTATGTACCTTTGAACAAACTTGCTAATTGCTGTAGTTGTTATTACCCATTTGGTGATGGCCTTCCCCCATCACACTCTTCCTTCTCTCCTGGAGTTTATAGCCACTGGCTGTATCCATGCACTTGTGGATGCATGTTAAAAAAATCTAGTGATTATCCATCAGTATCTCCTGATGGCGTTCTCCCTTTCTTTTTTAAACCCTGGATGGTCTTTATTCACAAAGCAAACATATAATTGTCTGTGACATCTTGTTGACGGTCTGGAGAGGCAGCTGACAAGAAGTAATTAAACTGGCCACTCATTGCATCCATTGTGGTTCCCCCTTTCACTGCTAAAGCTCAGAATGATGTTACCAGTTCAGGTAAAATGCCAGTTTTAAAAACACCTGTATAGATGGATTTTAGCGATTACAATAAGTAACCTGCTCACAGACCTAATACTCTGATGTGTGCCATTTAGTATCACAGTTTTGACCAAATCCTGAACCAAAGAGAGAGAGAGAGAGACTGCATCTGTGGCAGTACAGGGAAGGCAAAGCATCAAATGTTCCATCTTTACTTCTAACCATCTTCATCCCAACCTTAAAATTTTCTCTTCCCCTCTTATACAACTGGGCCACCTCCCCAGGCAATATTTACAAAACATCCTCCTCCTTTACTGTTCCAAAACCGTTCTAAGCTATCAGGTACCTTCATGTGTTGCTTCCAACTAGTTCGCTCATGGGGAATATTCTAGCATCACGATTTGGGTTAAAAAACCCAGACCCCTATATACAGATATCTTTTTGAGAAATACATTAAAATGGCAACTTACAAGAGCAACAAGGATAACAGGATTTTCAATTTCATTTCAGTAAAGTATAATGGGATTTATTCATAGAATTTAAAGTACCTTTAATTGAATAGATAAAAGGCATTACAGAGAGCTACCGTGTATATACATGGTACCTTTTTGCCAGCTCATGGGAAGATGGATATTTACTTGTCCTAATTATTCATAAAGATGATGTCCACAGCAAGCTTGAGATCAATGCCCACCTCTGTTATTTTCAAGCCTGCCTTAGTGGGAGTACCTCAAACACTGACATTCTCTTCCTGCAATAGAGATTCTCAGAGCACCATTCTGCAGTGGATTTGGGCCAAGTAATTCTTTTTTCTCCCTAGCAGATTTCAAAGTGTGAGTCTGAATCCCTAGTCAGCTAATGTGTTTATAAGTGACACTAGGAGGACAGAAACAAAAACAAAAACATCTCACACATCCCCAAGACTCTGTCATGCTACTTTGCATTGAATTATTTTTCCATGAAAACATCTGCAGGTGGGTTTTCATAAAATCTGACAGACAAATGTTATGAAGCAGGCTCTTGAAAATTTGGACAACAGTAGCCTCTTTCAAGTTTGTAGATTCATGTTTGTTTCAACATGCTACCTCAAGATCACTCAACAGTGACAAACAAATTGGAAAAGAAAAACCTATATTTTTCCTACCTTTTTTCCTTGTGGCTTCAAAGCCTCTCAATTCCTACAAGAAAAAAGAGATTTTTTTTAAGTATACAGGAATAGTTCATACGTAGCATAAAAACAGACCCACTAAAACATAGTCCCTGTCAGAGTGAAGTGCTTATGAGGCTTTAATCAATAACTAAACAGCTACAACTTCAAGTATTTAATGGATCAGTAGGTTATCCATCAGAGTCATCATTTTTGATCAAATTATAGTGAAAAGCATAAAACCTTAATTCAAATAAATATTTTTTTCCCTTTTGGGTTACAAGATCACAGGTCGAAGGGATTTTGTTATATTAACTATGTTGGTTTTACTTGTAAAACAGATACCAATCCTGGAAAGACTTATGTGCTTAGTTTTGAGGAAGTGAATAGGCCCAGATGAATTGACTGCATTACTCGTGTTTAGAAGTAAAGATGTGCTTAAGTCTTTGCAGGATCAGTGCTGTTGACAGCATCTCTTGCAAAACATTAATTACTGCCATTTCTAGTAAAGCAAGCTTTTTTATTTTAATTTGATGCCTACAGAACAGTCACCAAGAGACCTATATTCCCAGACTATATGCCATCTCTTGAATCTCAACCATAAGTAGGTGTGTAACCATAAGTAGGTGTAAAAAGAAAAGGAGGACTTGTGGCACCTTAGAGACTAACAAATTTATTTGAGCATAAGCTTTCATGAGCTACAGCTCACTTCATCGGATGCATTCAGTGGAAAATACAGTGGGGAGATTTATATACACAGAGAACATGAAACAATGGGTGTTACCATACACACTGGAAGGAGAGCGATCAGGTAAGGTGAGCTATTACCAGCAGGAGAGCGGGGGGAGGGGAGGGGAGGGGAGGGCGACCTTTTGTAGTGATAATCAAGGTGGGCTATTTCCAGCAGTTGAAGAGAACATAAGTAGGTGTGTGACAGACCATCTAATTTAAAGCTGAGCTAATAATTCATGACTACACACAAACATATTTTCATGAAAATTCCCAAATAAAATACCACCTCTAACAACCAATACCTGAGACTGAGGAACTGGGGAGGATGCTGAGAGAAACACAAGCTACATCCTTTATTTACAATGAGTAGGACTCACATGACTTTACTAGTAGCCCCACTGACCACAATGGGACTGCCCACCTGAGTAAAGGCTGCAGAATCAGGCCCATTGATTGTAACCTTAAAACACAAATAAAGCCAACTCACAGAGACCTGCCTGGCTCACTGCATGTTCTCATATGGTGATTTATCACTTACACTAGCAGAAAAAGCATATGGGTGTTCCCTTGAGACAGCAGAGATTAGTGCCAGATGCTGACTTCCACCAACTTGGAAGCTAAGATCTCAATCCTTGCTTTGTTGCACCTACTTGTGCAGTAAAATTAGTTTTTGATGATCCACCCTCAGATTTTGAGAGCTGGTTCTCCTCCCTCTTACATCTGCTGCTGTGCCCTTGGTTGCATAGACACATCGTACATCTGAGTTCCTCAATCCTCAAACATAGGTTCAAAGTCCTCTGTTGTTACAGATGGTGGCCTCTCTAACCTCATTTCATTCCCTTAGCACTCACTGTTTGTATAAGTTTATTTATCTAAGCATGGAACTAAGCAAAGGTTTACTTCTCTTCTTCCTCTGAGAGTGAAGTAACACCTGGCCTCCCTAGATAACAAGAGTTTCATGCTCATATGATGCTTATTCTGTTTTCGTATGGACCTTATTATTTTAATTTTTAAAGTACCATGGTCTACATTTAGACAAAGCAAAGTAAAATATAGCACCATATAGCTAATGCCATGTCCACATATACCTACTACCAGATGCAGGCAGGGAACTCCTGCCATATGGTAAGATACCAAGAGAGTGCACTCTAAAAGTAAAAAGATGTTGAAACTGAGAGGAAAAACAACAGGGTATAGGAGTGATGACAGGTGACAGTTCCTACCAAGCTAAATCAAGACTTAAGATGTAGTGGACAACATTATTAACTACCTCAAACTAGTTAGCAGGAAAATTTAGCATTGGATCGAGTTACGTTATGTAACGAAGCCACACGGTACTATATTTAGTCATATATTAGATACACAGAACTTTTTACTGTAGATGATTTTGTGTCTTGTCTTCATCTATCTTAAGGGCATAAGAATTCCAAGTAGAGGTGGTTGAAAATTTTCTGACAAAACCAAGTTTCTTTGAAAAATGCTGATTTGTTGAACCAGAAATTTCTTGTGACAGTCAGTCAGGTTTGACAAACTTGCTGAGTCATGGACAGAATTCCCTGCCAGATCAACTGGCAGGCTATCAGGCAGCCTTGCCATGAAGGCTGCTCCAGGGCTGGGGACCCTGGCACATAGGGACCACAGTGCCAGATTAGCTAGTCACTCAGATTGAACCCAAGTCCTGAGTTTCAGCCAGCTCTAGTTCCATATTTGCTTATCAATTTATAGAGAGGAGGTCCCTTCTAGTGGGCCCAAATTTCTCCATCCTCTGTACAGAATTACACCATTGCGTTCACAGATTGACTTGGAAATTGGTGACACAACCAATATATCCTACCTACTCTGATCAGTGCAAAGCAATTGTTACCATTAACATATATGGATATGTACAGCCAGGAACAAATTCTTGTCTGGTGTCTAGTTGCTGTGTAGACATACCCCAAGTGACAGAAGCTCCTTGGCAAAGGGTCATTGGAAACAACTTCACTTCAGACCTGAAAAATTCATCTTGCAGGATATTTATCCATAAAGAGTAACATTAAGGTATCTACAGAAAGCACATAAATTGTCAAGACTCAATCATTGCAAGAAGTATGGAAAGATAATATATAAGGAATAACATATTCAAGTTGAACATATGCTTTATGGACTTGGAGTGAAAATTAGTCACCAGGGTAATGTGTGTTGGAGATGACCCATTCAAGCAACAGGAGTTATTACCCCTCCCTAGTCAGCTGCTGATGTAATACGAGGTTCTATTGTCTAGTTTTGCTATACCCTGAACAGTCAATGGAAAACCATCAAAGAAATTTGCAAATGATCAAAAGCACTTGGAGGTGAAAAGGAACATAATAGCAGGCAGGAGATTGCCCTGGCTATGAACAAAGGCAAAAGGTTGTTTCAGTATAACAGAGTGTAGAGAAAGGCACTCAGTATTCATTCACTGAGGAAACCTCTTAAGGAGCAGGGGGGGTTCATGACTCTTTGGATTTTGGCCCTTGTGAAACCAGTTAGTTCTGAAACAGACTGAACTTGGGGATGGGGTGGATTAGTTTATTGTATAGGAAAGGAGACTATTGATAAGTGTACACTTATCATTTGCATTTTATTATTTTGTTTTGTGTTGTAACAATTTTCCTCCATCGGTTCTCTTTTATTTTTAGTTATATCTTCATTTTTTCTTATACAACCCTACTTTTCTTTCACTAAAAGTGCTCATGAATGCTGTGTGGTTTACAGAAGTGGTGGTTTAAGGTAAAACAGGTAAACTGGGTTGTGATACTGACAGATCAGCTCAGATCAGAGCCCTTGGGCAATTCACTGGTGGGTGAACTTCAAAGGAGTGTTAAAATACTATTTTGTACCTGGACAATTCACTTGTTAAAATGGATGTTAATTGTATTTGTCTTCATCTACCTACATCCTGTCTGATGTACACTAGTGTAACTAAATTAACCTGTTGTTGCTCTATCCTTTTTCATGTCCTGTAACTCTGTAATTACCTTTACATTATGTATACGACTCTACTTAATTAACATTACGTCAAAAGGCCTGTATTTAGTGTTTAGAAGTGAACTTAATTTATATGCAGATGATATGAACGCTAATGAAGAATTGTTCCTGGCTATCCCATTATGTACTCTGGTAACTGGATAACCTTAATTTAAAGTGTGTTAGTTTTAAGATAGGAAAGTACTGGATGTGAAAGCTTTCATAAAATACATGAAAACTGGCAGTTACATAGACTGATTCAGGTGGAAACTTAGGATGTGAACCTTGTCCTTGTAGAAAACTGTATATGGCAGATCTGTGACCAATGCATTCACTTTTCCCACCCTCCCTAGCGGAGGTGATGGCCACTAAAAAAGCTACCTTTGCTGAAAGATGTAGAAGCAAACAAGGTATGAAGCTAAAGGTGTGAAAGGGGGATCCATGAGAGCAGGCAATACTGAATTCAAATCCCATAATGGTGCTGGATCCCTGATAGGCAGAAGCAATCTATCTAGCCCTTTCAGGTTGTGATAGGGTGAGTAAAAACAGTCATTGATTTGAGGGAGAAACTCTGAGATGGCCACCAGATGCACCCTAAAGAAACTAAGGGCTACACCTGACTCCTTAACATATAAAAGATAGTCCAGAATGTCTGAGTAGGTGACATATTGTGATAGGCTGCCCAGACAGAAAATTACGTCCGTTTCCACAGCTTTTGTGGGAGGTTTTCTGCTTTTAAGAGAACATTTCGGACTGCAGCTGAGCAGTGAGCCTCCTCTGTATTTTACCAGTGATGAACTATGCCATGTCATGCAGCATTTTAGGATTCAAGTGCAGTGCCCAGCTATGGTTCTCTGTGATGAGGTCTCTGGTTATTAGTAACAGCAAAGATTCTCAAGTCAACAGCTTGCATAGGTTGAATACTATGGCTGTCTTGGACAGGCTGGCACTATTAAGATCATTCTGCCATGATCTTGTTTCAGCTTGAGAATGACTGAGGATTAGAGGCACTGGTGGATGTCCATACAAATAGGTCCTTGTCCCATGGAAAAAGGAAAGCATTGGATATTGATCCAGGGACTGGAACTGACCCTGGAACTGAAGTGGAGACACTGAGTTGCCAACAGATCCGCAAGTGGAAAAATCTCTATGTGGAACACTGAGACTAAAATGACTGTGTTGAGGAGACTATTTGTGGTCTAAGTTGAAGGACCTGCTCAGACAATCTGCCAGACCATTTTGAACCCCACGACAAGTGAGACACCCTGAGAGTAACCAAGCTCTGAATGAATAAATTCCACAACTTGACTG